AATGACAAAATACATCCATTACAATGAAAAAAAAACCCGCATGTGTATTTTGTTCAAAAGTGCATCGCAACCCTAATTCCTAAATTGGCGCTGTGTTGTTGGTAATATTAACGCAGTTACCCTTTTGCTTTTTTACTCCCCAAGTGTCAACACAAACTCATTTTCATGGCAGTCTATCCTGACAAATTATTAGCTATATTCTCACATTTAATGGCGTGTTTTTGGCTAAATGACCCTGTTGGGGAATTAGCCAACAGATAGATGAATTTCAACTGATTGGGTATCCCTTCATTTCCTAAAGGAGATGGTTATATATTTTTAAAAAATTAAAAATCGCAGTATTTCATTGTAAGGTTAGCACAGCATGCTAAACATTATAAAGATTGATGCTTTTTCCTCCTTCGACCAAATACACCCTCGTTTTGGTAACGCAAATTTTCCCCTTTGCATAACATTATTTTTGGCTCTAACTCCCCATTACTGAGTGTTCCATTTTTAATCAACCCCATTCTGGAGCTTTTGAGTTTTTCTTAGCTCCATTGAAACTAAAGGTAGGATTTCCTTAGGGGAATTCGGGGGCCAACCCTCTCTGGAGAGACCCCGACGTCTTTATACAAGCCCAAGGGAACAGAGTCATTCCTGTTTGCACAGATGGTCAGCTGCCTCGGTGGGCGTGTGGTCGGTCGTTTAGTGCTTCTCTTCCATAAAAGGGGAAAACGGTTTGGTTTTGATCAGTTTTTTTTTTTTTAGCATTAATTTCTTTGTTTTACCTTATTCCTCCCAAGTTAGAGGTAGCTCATTAAAGTTCTGTCTGCTATTTTGTTTTATTGAGCTTCAGTGATCCCTAAACGGATAAAGTTCTTTAGGGAGTCACCGAAAACCTTCCAGTCCCCTAAAACCTTCCAGTCCCCTCTTAATTCTTTTCAGTCGATTTGTCTAAAGCTTAGCGACTCTTAAGCTTGCTCCCCTGGCTTTCCAGCAGCCAAGGGGCAAACCCTAGCATATGGTAATTACCTCTACCCCTTTCTCCTCGCCCTGGCTTTCCGTAGGCCTAGTCTGCTGCCCAGCCCTGAACCCCTTTTTCGACCCCAACCAAGCTGTCAAGCGGGCAGGCAGGGGTTAATCGCGCTCCCAGCTTAGGCTCTGGGAAGCACCGGCCAGCTTTGGAGCGGCCTCTGGAATAACCTTGGCTTCCCTCGCTCTTTTAATAGAACATCCGCCACCAAAAAAGTGGTTTCAGTTCAGGGTTAGTAATAAGTCCCTTTCTACCCTCCAGACACCCCCCCCCTCCCAACACGCGTTTTTTTTTTTTAAAGTTGTTTTTCAGAGTTAATGAGTTTCAAGTTTCACAATGATTTTTTTTTCCCCCTTTCAATGCGTTGCTGAGGAAACCCCCTTGGGGTCCCCCCCCCTCCTCTTGTGGGCCTTCCCCCCTCCCCCCCCCTCCCCACCGGCCCGGGCGAGGGGCGGGGCTGGGAGACCCCATGACGTCACCGGGCCGGCCCACATCCTGCTTCAGAAAGTAAAGAGACGGTAAAGAGAAACTCCGGCCCCGCCCGGCCCCGCCCCTCTCCGCACGCCAACCGCCCTCAACTGCGCAGCCGGCGGGGCCTCCCCCGGGCCGCCCCACCTGCGGGGCCCGCCCGCCGCTCCCTCCCGGCGCCCTCCCCGGGGTCGGCCGGACCCCGAGCTGCGGTCTCCGCGTCTCTAACCGCCCCTCCCCCTCGGGCCGCGCCACCGCCTCCTTCCGCGTCCCCCCTGCTCGCGGAGCCCGGCGGGGCGGGGCGGGGCGGGGCGGGCGGCCCGGGCAAGGCGGGGTCCGGGGCAGCCCTGCCAGGGAGACCCGAGGCACCGGCTTCCTGCGATTGCAGGGCCGGCCCGGGCCACCTAGCCCGGCCCCTCAGCCTGGGCTTTGCGGGCGACTCCACGCTGGTCACTGGTGTCCCCCCCCCACCTCCGCCTACCCTGCCGCCCAGCTCGCCCCCCCCCCTCTTCGGGACGCCCCCCCTCCCCGCGCCCGCGTGTCGCAGCCTCCCCGCCTCCCGCCCCCGGGGATCCCCTGCCGCCCCGCCCACCCGCGGGAAAGCCTCCGACCTTCGGCCTCCCCCGCCCCCCGCGCCGCCGGCCCGCGCGCCTCCCGCCCGCCCCAAAGACGCTAAACGTGCCTTACTCTGCCCGGGGGGAGAGGTAAAGCCCGCGCCCCCACCCCGCCCGGGCCCCGAGGTCCGTCCCGCAGCCCCGCCGGGGTGCGCGCCCCGGCCCCCCCCCTCCCCGGGACGCCCCCTCCCGGGCCGGCGGGAGCCCTCGACCATGCCTCGGCCCCGGGCGCCGCGGAGCGCCGCCGCCTCCCCCGCCCGGCGCCCGCGGCCCCCGCCCGCGCGCCCCGCGCTCCCCCCCCCGCCCCCCGGCCCGCTCCCCTGTTTAATATTTCAGCGCCGGGCGGTGTGAGCGCCAGTCTCCAGCCTTGGCTGTGCCTGGTGCCGGAGAGGCGGCGGCGGCGGCGGGGTCGGGGCCGGAGCCCGGGGACCCGGGAAGCCGCGGCGGCTGCTGGAAAGAGGTTCTGTTTGTGTTTTGAGGTTGTCAAGTAGAGGCGGGGTGGGGGCGGGGGGCATCCCAGGCCCCGCCGCCGCCGCGGCACCGGGGGTCGCCGGAGATCCCGAGCCGCGGCTGCCGCCATCAGCAGCGCAGCTCCAGGGCCGGCTGCGGCGGCGGCGGCCGCGGCTCCGCCGGGCGGGCGTCCTGGCGGCAGGTTCGGCGCGGGCTCCGCGGCGCGGGCGCTGCAGCTGGGGAGGCGGCGCGGCGGAGCGGGTGTGTGTGTGTTGGCGGGGGGGGGGGGGGATTTGGGGGGGTGGTAAAGGGGAGGGTGAGGACCACCTCCCCCCTCGGCGTGCGGGGGGCGTGCGGGCGCGCGTGTGTGTGTGTGCAAACCGGCGACCTTGCAGAGGGGATGGCTGCGTGCGGGAGCCACTTGCCACTTCTGGGCGCCCTGGCTGCGCGCGGGCGGGCGGCCGGGGCCGCGGTCCTGGGAACCCAGCAGGTACCGAGGGATCCAGCCTGCCACACTCAGATGCGTGCTGCGGGGAGGATGGACGGGTGGCGAGGGAGACCAGGCCTCGGCTCCGCAACCTCCCGGCTTTGTGGCTTTTTTTTTTTTTCTTCTTCCTTCCTCCCTTTTGGTTCTTTGCTCCAAGTGCTTATTTACTCCTGACCACCTGGGTAGTTTCTTTCCGGGTTGCGAGTGTGCGCCAGCAGCTGTTGGGCCGGGGGTGGTGGGTGGGGGGACTGGGGTTTGCCTTGGAGGGGGGGTGAGGTCAGGTTGGGGAAAGGAGTTGGGTGGTTTGGAGAGGGGAGGGGGGGGCGTTTGCGGAGCTGGGGTGAGGAGGAGTCTCCCCTCATCTCGTCCTCCTCCTCCGCCTCCTCCCCTCTCTCCTCCTCTAGCTTCCCGCATCCACTCCGAGCTCCTTCCCGAGCTGGCACTTCCATCCCCCCCCTCCTTCTGGCATGCAAAGCGCTTTGTTCAGTGCAGCGTTGCAGAGGGGTTTTCCCAGGCTCCGCCCTCCACATTCATTCATGGTTTTTTTTTTTTCCTCCTTGCAACTGTCTTTCCGCTTTTTTGATCGTGTCCCTGGGTTTGCTCTATGTAGTATTTATTTCTTTCCCGTAAAGGAACCAGTGGATCGCGCGTCTTAGTCTGTAGTGCTGTTGTCTCTGAAAAATACCCACCTCTCTCCTCCCCCCCACATGGGCCTGAACGCGGGATGGACAGCTGAGGACAGCGGGTAGGCTGTGAGCGAGGTTGCAGAAAGCTGTTAGAGACTGGGAATTTGCATATTTTACATTTAGGCTCTGGATCCGGTGGCGGTCACATGGTTGGATTACAATCTGAGTTCACGCTTTAAAAACTTAGCCATGTCGTGGTGTGTCCCATTTAATAAAGCTTTAACCGGGAACGGAGCTAAGCATGCCTACGATTTATTTGGCTCTCGTGCCTCTGAATTCTCTGTGGAACCAGAACCTTCCTGAATCCAATGGTAGAGAGAATTTGAGGAGACCTATCTTTTATGGCTCGTTTAGTAAGATGCCACGTGAAATAAATGGCCCTGATGGTCACAATTCATACCCTTCGCTAGTGCAGTTAAAAATGGGGGACAGGGGGTAGCTTGTGCTATTCTACCAGAGAAACTACCAGGAGCAAAACACTTGAGGTTAATTGAGGCTCTTTCCCGTATTTCTTAGCTAAAAGGAAACCTTTCTCTTAAGAATATTAGCTACATTCTTTTCCACAGCGTTTAGTTAAGGGGAATGTGTCTATCAACATTGTTTGTGACAGGCAAAGTATTTACATTGTTGTTAGTTTTATAACAACCTTCTTAGGTGGATAATGTTTCCTACATTTACAGTTGGGAAATCGGATCTTAAGGGATGTTAAGTACCTTGACCTAGGCCACACAGTATGGGGTAAAGCCTGACCTTGACCCCAGTTTGGTTAGACTAAAGCATGTAGTCATGACTGGCTGTGCTAGGCCTCCTCTTGAAAAGCAAAACAAAAAGAAACAAAGTAGACATCGTCTCCTTTGAAGCAAAGAGCAACTGATCATGGAGTGCCATATTTTTTAGTTACTAATCTTAGGTTTCTTAAACTACTCGCCAAACTTTGGTCTCAGTTCTTGTTAGGGTTAAATTAGAGAATAAATAGTAGGTGCTTATTATTTGTACTGCAACAGATACAACAGCACGTTTAAAAAAAACATTCCTATCCCATTCTGTTGTGTGATTAAACACTGTTTTGGGTGTAGTATCCATATTTTCTTAATGGACTTTTCTTATCTACTTTGTTGCAGTAAGCTAAAACTAAAATTCTGGCTCTGGGATCCTTGGGAGAATCTAGTAGAATAAAGGATCACGGTGGCCACTTTGGGGGAGATAGGGGATTAAGGTTTTGATAATTATTTTTGCAGTACCTAGGGCTTTTTTTTTTCCCCTTTGAGTTTAGAGTCAAGCTATGCTAAACTTTAAATTTTGAAGTACTTTTTTCTCTTGATTGAAGGTGGTCAAATATGTTTCTTGTTTTCTTTATTGTTTCCTTTTTACAGCACATGGATTAACTGATGTACACTGAGTTTATGGAGCCATCTTTTCGTGACCTGCTCTTTCTAAGTTTTCTAAGAAGAAAAAGCTCCTGAGCCCAAAAAGATGCCTCGAACAAAACAGATCCATCCTAGAAATCTACGAGGTAAGGCCGTATGTCTTCAGTAAAAACAAGACATACAAAAAAGAAATCTTTTAATAAACTACAACTTTGAAGTCAGAAATGGTATGTTAGTTACTTACTGTTTGTTGGGGACTTGGCTTAAATGGTTGAGGATTTGCTTAAAATGAGCGATGTGTCCGCTTCAGCACTGCAACAGTCAAACATGGCTAGCTCGTTTTCTTCAGTTCCATTTGCCCTAGGCAGTTCTCGTCTCTCAGGAGATAAAAGTATATGTTAAAAGAATTAGTTGTGTTTGATGAAGTTAGAATCTTTCCCAACCCATCATTGGATATTGAAAGCTAAGAATAAATTTTTCTTAGCAAGAACCTTATTGGGATCAAGGAAATCTAAAATGAGTGGTTGATAACTTTTCCCAACTGGATCACCATGAACGTTATGTATGTGTTTCATTGCTCCTTCTTCCTTTAGACCTTTAAAAAATCAAACTCAGACCTCATGCATTCTAGGGAAGGGCTCTACTATTTAGCCACATCTCCTCCCCACCCATACTTTTTTTTTTTTTGAGATTTATTTATGTACTACTCTATAATTTAGATTAGTAAGATGAGTTATAGTTGATATTTACCTAGAAATTTACTTGCAGAACCTAGAAGAGACTAGCTTCTACATATATACATATAGGCATATAGTCGTACACATATGTATGCCTATATGTATATATGTGTATATATACAGACATACATATGCATATGTATATATGTATGTACATATATGTATATGTTATATATGTATGTACACGTATATACGCATATATGCATCCATGTCTATAGGTATACGTATATGTATGTATATGTACAGATATATGTATATACATACAATGCACATAGATTTCATACTAAGACTGTATTTTATCTTAACTGTAAACAGATACTTTAATATTAGGAAAGTAAGCATAATTTAGTTTATTGTGTTAGAAGATTTGTATTCTTGTAATGTGTTTTGCCCACTGGGAATAATAGCTATTTTTTACATTTAACTCAAGCAGATGAGAATGTACTAGTGTTAGTGAAAGAATTTTTAGTGGAATAAAGTATTTTACATAGTATAGTCTGAATCATTTAACAACAGAGCTACATAATGAGAAGGTACTGTTAGGGGCTTTCATTGCACAAACATACAATATATCTACATAAACCCAGATGGTCTAGCCTACCACACATTTAGCTGTATGGTCTAGCCTAGTGCCGCTAGGCTGTAGACCTGCTGTGTGTTACTATGCTAAACATGGAGGCATTTGTAACACATGGTAAGCATAATTGTATCCAGACACAGAAAAGGTAGAGTAAAAATGCAGTCTAAAAGATTAAAAATGGTATACTGTCCAGACACGTACTGTGAGTAGGAGTTGCAGTGCTGGAAGTTACTTTGGGTGAGTAGAGAAGTAGGGTAAATGAATGCCTAGGGCGTTGCTTCAGTGCTGCTGTCGGCTTCTCTAACAGCACTGCACACTGAGGCTACACTCATTTTATATAGTTTTTTTTTGTTTCCTTCAAGACTAAATTAACCTTGGCTGACTAAGGTTATGTTTTTTTTTACTTGATAAACTAAGCACAAAATTTAAGAACCTTTTTGACTCAGATAACGCTTAGCTTAAAATGAAAACCCATTGTCCTGCTCTACAGAAGTAGTTTTTATGTTCTTAATCTCTTTTTTTTTTTTTTTGGTCGGGTCGTGGGGCTTGAACTCTGGGTTTGGGCACTGTCCCTCAGCTCTTCAGCTCAAGGCAGCGCTCTACCACTTGAGCTACAGTGCCACTTCCGGTTTCCTAGAGGTTTATTGGAGATAAGAGTCTCACAGACTTTCCTGCCTGGGCTGGCCTTGAACCACAATTCTCAGATCTCAGCCTCCTGAGTAACTAGGATTACAGGCGTGAGCCACTGGCGCCCGGCTTATGTCCTTATTCTCTTAAGTCATGTTCTATTTTCCTTGTTAATTTTTTTTTTTTCTTAAACATTCAGAACCACACACATTAGCTTTGGCCTTGGGAGGATCAAGAGTTCAGGGTCCATCTTATACCTTCATATATTGTCCTGCTAGCAGCTGTTCAAGAACGGTGACATGCTGTTCCTTCTGGGAACAGCAGTGCTTTCCCCTGGAATCTGTTCTGAAGAACCCGCCTCTGCTTTTTCGAAGTTGGTTTTTTTCTCCCAGTTTGGGGGTTTGAAGTTAGGGCTTTACTCTTGATACTGGTGTTCGGCCATTGAGTCACACTTCTAGTCCTGGATTTTACTGATTATTTTTTATGATAAAGTCTTGTTTCCTGACCACGCATGTGCATAGACCACCCATTTTAGGCTTCCCATTGTAGCTAAGATCAGAAATGTGAAATGTCCTGTGAAATCTCATGTTCTGCCTGGGCTAGGTGGACTTTGCAGTTCTTCCCATCTTAGCCTCCCTCAGAGCTTGGGGTAACAGGTGTGCACCATGGCACTCAGCTATGGATTGAAAATGGGTCTGTCAAATTTTTCTTCTGAAATTGGCCTTGAACTTTCTTCGTCCTCCTGATGTTGGTATCTCAAGTAGCTTGGATTATAGGTGTGAGCCACTGGCATCAAGCTAATAGTTTATTTTTAAATAAGTACAGGGATTAAGCTCTGAAATAATGATGAAAAACTATAGCATAGTAAATAAGCCAGTACATGCTCATTTATTATCAGAATCTAGCATATTTCATACATTATTGTATGTTCTTTATGGTTACATTACTGGCAGTGTAGTGTTTGTTTCAGCCAACATTATCATACCCATGTGAATGATGCTTTGTGCTAAAGTGTTACTAGGCAATAGGAGCTTTTTAGCTTCATTAAATTATTTTTCATTTATTTATTGTTATTGTAAAGGTGGTATACAGAGGATTGCAGTTATATAAGTCAGATAAACTATATTTTGCTTGGACAGTGTCACTCTTCTCCCTCTCTCCCAGTTTTTCCCTCCCATCTCCACCCACAATTTGTAGAGTGCATTTTCAACATAGTGTCTAGTGAGCACCACAGCTACATTTGTTCACCCTTTGTCCTCTGTGTTCCCTCCCCCATTACCCTCCCAAAGACAGATAAATGAACACACAAGATAAACAAAAACAATGGCAAAGAACAAACACCTCTTATTTCCATTTCCTGGAGTTCATTTTGAAAAGTTATTTTATTGCGCCTATGTGATCCTTTCCAAAGAATATCGTCCTTTGGTCTCTGTGTGAATGCCTAGAGACCTGTATAATTTATCATGTCCCAGTGTATTTTTTTTCTTTTACCATCCAGTGTGTTTACTTGTAGTGTTAATGGTACATTAGTTAACACATATGAGGGAAATCATGCAACCTATGTTTCTTTGGGTCTGGCTTACTTTGATTAATAAATTTTTCCCCTTACAAATGGTATAATATCTTTCTTTCTGATGGATGAGTAGAATTCCATTGTATATATTTACCACATTTTTCTTGATCCACTGAGGGGCATCTGGGTTGATTCCATATCATGGCTATGGTAAACAGTGTTGCAAGGAACATGCTTGTGCTGGTAGCTTTACTGTGGCCTGGTTTGTATAATAAGACCACTGTCATATATGTGGATTATTGATTCCTGAAACCTAGTTATGCAGTGCATGACTGCATTTATTACCATTAGAGGAAGAAATACTTGAAGCACAATGCATACCTGTTAAGAAATAATTTAAAATCAAGTAGATTAGTTGAAAATGTTTCTTGGACAGATAAATCTGGCCAGATGTGATGCCATAAGGTGGCATTGGGAGATTTGGTCAGCTTCACAACCTGTTTGAATCTGGAAGCAGTGTTTGTTTCCCACCTAAAAAAAAAGCATTAGCTCTTGGTGACAGAGGTAAAGGCCTTGGGCCCAAATTGGAACTGCTGATTTTTTTTTACCAATGTTTAATGAGATGGGATTTAGAGAGAGAATATTCAGTGTAATATTTCGGTCTGATTTTTCAGTCATATCAAAAATGCCTGTCTCTGTCACTTAGAATATGAATTTAATAAAGAAGGGCCCTTTTCTCTCAGTGCCTACTGCTCAAGTGAGCATTTGTATCTCTATCCCTTCTTTTAAGGTTTCTTTATCTAGAGGGAGCACCCTGTTCTATTTTTCCTTGTCCTAGCTAGCTGATGGTGGCTCAGACATTCGCCAGTGTATATCAACAGTCCTAGAATCTTGATGTTTTAATTTAGGATTTATCAATTGTACAATGATGTAAAAGCAATACACATCCAGTAGATACTTCAGATTTAGACAATTTCCCAGGATAATGATTTTTTATCCTACCCAGTCTTTTTTTAAAATTTCCCTTTCATATTTATTTTTTGTTCATTTGTGAATAGACAAGTTTTTTTTACCCATAAGCTACACCCCCAGCCCCCCTTTCTTATTTTCTATCTTTTCATCCACTGTGCTGAAATTCTAATACATTTTACCAATTCTATTCCTATCCAGTCTTGATGCTGAGTGGGAGCAGGGAAGAAGTCCCTCAGCCTTTCATCATGAGAGCAACAGCTGACCTGCCCCTGTGTGCTGTGTTGCCAAGCTAGGATGGTTGTAGGTTAGGATTCAATTTAGGATGTTTTCACTTCAGAATAGACTAATGGGACATAAATCGTAAGTCAGGGTGCCATTCTCACATTGATCTGGAAATATTAGTTATTGCATCAAATAGTAAACATATATCCTATAAAATATTCTTTTCCAAAATTATGAGTTTTCTAAGAAGACCTGAAATATTTGGGTTCTAGTCCATTATAGTTGCCTAAGGTGGGCTCTTACTATTAAAGAAAGGTCAGAGTATATAAGTACATAGGCAGCAAGAGACACAAAGAAGCCATGTTGATAGGTCTTGAGGGAGGGGGCTTTCTGATGGGGCATAGGGTAGACTTCTGGAGGAGGTGATCTGAGCCATGTTAGTTCACTCAGCAGGCTAAATGAGAAGAACCTTCCAGTTCCAGCGGGGAAAGCACT